GTGGAAGACAGTACATGCTGCTGTTGTTTGGTCTATTTGGGAAGAGAAAAATCAGAGGATCTTCAATGAAAAAAGTAAATCCTTAGAGGAGGTGATTGAAGCCATCAAAATGAGATCGGTACATTGGGTTAAAACATTGGAATTGTTCAAAGGTACTCCCACGGATGACTTCTTAAGGAATTGGAGAGAGGTGGCACTCTCAGAAGTCAGAACCACATAGAGAAGCAATAAGAGTGGAGTGGAAACCACCAGGGGTAACTAAACTGAAGCTAAACTTCGATGGTAGTTCATTTGGCAACCCAGGAAGAGCAGGAGTAGGGGGAGTCTTTTGAAACCAGCAAGGAGCAGTGTTGGCCTTGTTCTCAGGACCAATCGGGTATGCAGACTCAATTCAAGCTGAACCAAAGGTCCTGTTGCAAGGACTGAAGCTTGTTGAACAGTTAGGTGCAAGAGAGCTGGAAATTAAAGGAAACTCGCTTCTGATTATAACATGCGCAAAGCAAATTGAGCCAGCACCTTGGAAGCCAAGATTCACTTTAGACAGATTGACCAACTTGCAAAGAGATTTAATTCTACCTTCAAATGGGTTAAAAGGGAAGCTAATGGGTTGGCGGATATGTTAGCCAAGCAGAGAGCTTATAGAGCATCCTTATTTTGGGCACTGTTTTAAACTAACTTTGTTTTGGGAATTGTTGTATCTTAAATTCAGATTTAAATTAATAAATGGATTTCTTTGCTGATAGAAAAAAGTATAACAGATGTCCAAATCTCTGGTATCCAAGGTTTTAAAAACCGACCCGGAAACGGAACTGTTCTGGGCACCGTTTTCCGGTTTGGTGGTTCAACCGTCTGGGTTGAACGGTTTGACCCACGGCGTCATAAATAAATTAAAAAACAAAAAAATATTTATATATAATAAAAATATCATAAAAATTAAATAAAGTACAGAAAATACACAGAAAAATACAGGAAAAAGAACAACATATGGAAAAATAAAAATATCTAAATATAAAAATAATAAAATACAGAAAATCCAAAACAAAAGAGAAAAAATACCAAAAAATATAGAAAAAATTCCATAAAATACAGAAAATTACAAAGCCATTAGATAAAAATACCAAAATGCTTTTTTTTTTTATTTCATTAAAAATATTAAAAAAGTACAAAGCCCTGTACAACGAAGATCTGTACAAGGATAACCAAATCTGAACCTATACTCGTTCCCAAATATAGCTTTCTAGTTTCTATAGCTTTACAAAAAGAAAATTCCAATAAAAAAAGTATGAGCTGCTTGTTTTTTCACCTTTTGTTTAATACAATGAAGAGAAGAGGTAAAACAAATTGAGGAACAAAAGGCTTAAACAAGTTAATGGTTCAGCATTTCCTAATAAAGTCTACAACCCAACACATCAGGCAGTCATTACACCAAGGCTACAATTTTAGGCAACAGAAAGAGTAAATATACTTCATTCAGCAACATAACTCTTACCCGAACAGATCTGAAAATGACTGACATAAAAGAAAATATAAAGTTCAAATAATTCTAGCCAATTCTAGTAAAGTATCAAGACTCAAGTTTAAAAAGTTCTTTTAGATCTGAAAATAAAAACAGTTAATCCAATTGAACTTAATTATATAAATAGAACCAATGATAATAAAGTGGAAAGTTGAGGGTTACCTGAAAGATTATATTTCCGTAGAAAACCAGCTGTTGTTGCAGCATCCCAGTCATACCTGAGATATCATAATCAGATGTAAACTGAAAAACAAGGGATGCCTCAAACTCAGATTCTGCAATCTGCAGTGGCTCTCGGCTCCAATGCAGTGGTCACTGGTGCAAATGGTGGTTCGGTTCCTTGAAAAATGATAGTATTACAAAAAAAAAAGAGTTAATTAAAAATCATTGAAATGGCTAAATGAGAGATAAAAATTGAAATCTAAAGTTCTGAACTGAATAATGGTGGTTCTGAACTGAACAGTGGTCGCCGGTTCACTTAGTTACCTGAAAAATCACAGTATTCGCTTGCAGCCGCAGTGAAGAACTGAAGATAGTTGCTAGAGGTTGGAGTCCACAGTGAAGCTTTGGCCGCCGGCGGGTGCTTGCTCGGATTCTGGGAAGGGTGGTGCCAGTGTATCGCCACCTGAAGGCTTTTGGTTTTGGGTTTGGCAAAACAAAACCCTAAGAGGCTAACTAGCTACTTTCGAAGGTTAGATTTTAGGATAGATTTGGCATTTTGTTTTTATTTTAAAAAAAAAAACAGAATTTATAAAATACCGAACCGCTAACCGTTGGCCGGGTCGAACGGGTTGACGGTTTTTTGACTTTGTCAACATTTTTTCACTAAATGATGGTTCAAGGTAAACCCGGAACTGTTCGAGTGACCGGTTTCCGGTCCGAATGGTCCGACCGTCTGGGTCAATGACGATTCGAAAACGTTGCTGATATCTTCCTTTGTGTTCTAGTATATCCTATTAAAGGCATTCAGTTCATCTTTAGAGTCTGATTCCTCAGGAAACACTCGTTTCAAGATTCATCACCTCTTCTACTCAGGATGAATTAGAGCCTTAGCCACAGTCTTAGGACTAGGAATAGAAAAAATTGAAATATCCGAACAATAGGTTGGAGACAAATACTGCTAATTCATATACTATGGAATAGAATGAGCAGTAGATCTATTACTTTTACAAAGCAATATGATGATCTAAATTATTGATATAGGATCAATAACCCTGATACCAATTGATGTAGGACTGATATGATCAGGTTGGACTAGTAATGAATTTGAAGGAATTTAGAAGGTACACCGGGTGCATGCCTTTTGAAAGGGGCTGTACTTGGGTTCAGGTGAGGCACATTCCTTAAAATGTGCCTTGACTGTGGCATCTAGGCATGCCTTTAAAACACTCTTCCTTTTTTTGATAAGTGATGATAATTTTATTAGATCATAAACAGGTTTGAGATTGAAAGCTCATACAACCCTCGGAGAGGCACGAGTTGCAGCCTCCCCCAACAAATTACAAGGAAAATAAAAAACAACGAAGATCACAATTGATCCCAGAAAAGGTCTTCCCTGTTTGCCCCTTGCTTGGCTAATACATTTATACATTCACCAAAGCATTTGCTGATCTCCCCACCCACTGTATAGAAGTAGGCATATTTCTTATCAGCCATTTGAACTTCTTGATTTCATTTTTGTAGCATCAAGCAGCATTCTGGGGGTTATTCAGTCAGCCCACCACTACCTTAGAGTCTCCTTCAATAATCAATTGCTCTACCCCCATCTGGCTTGCAAAAAGAACCCCTTGTACAGCAGCTAGTAATTCTATCCTAACAGAATCTCCATGTCCCAGAGGACCTGAGTACAGAAAGACTACCTCTCCATACTGATTTCTCAATACCACCCCCCATTCCAGAGGGTCTTGGATTGCCTAGGCTGCTCCCATCAAAGTTCAGCTTCACAGATCCTGCAGATGGGGGAAGCCACCTTTAGCTGCCCTAATCTTAGTGGAGGAGCAACTTGCTACTGTTAACCAGTTTCTCCAAAGATCACTAAAGGAGAATTGCTGAAAGATCTCTTGGCTTTTAGCCAGTATATTGCCCTATTTAGAACAAATCCTTTAAATCTAGGCTGCTCCTCTCCTTTTCTTGGAAGATTCTAGTGTTTCTTTCCTCCCATAAGATCCATAGAAAAGCTGCCCCGGCACATCTCCAGTTCTCCACATAATTCTCCCTCTTTTTTTTTGGGCCAAGAGAAGGTAGAGTGGTAAAAAAATTGTACGTATATCAGCTGGTAGGTTCCAACTACACAAACAATGAGAGGAGCCAAACCCATAAATCTGCCAACGGACAGGAAATCAATAAGTGATAGCAATCCTCCCCATGAGATCTACAGAGAACACACCAGTTGGAAGAAATACATGAGAGGTCTTCTCTTTTGTAGGTTATCTAAAGTGTTTAATTTCCCAAGGTATACTTTCCAACAAAAAGTCATGATCTTTGGAGGAATCAGCCTACACCAAACTTCCTTAGAGGGGAACAATTGATGACCACAAGAAAGGCAAAAAGACTTAAAATAAGAGGTGCAAGTGAAAGTTCCTTATTATAGATCTTTTGTGATTTCCCTATCCTGATAAATGTGGTTATGGAAAGGGTTGATCTCAAATATGACCTACTCCATACATGGTCCACTAAATTTACTTTTCCAAAAGAGAAAAAAAACTTATAAAACAGGTTACAGAAATTAAGGAATAAAAAGTTCTTTATTTAGCAGTTTATCTGTATGTCATTATGATAATGCTGTTCTTTCTTCAGAAGTTTTTGTTATTTAGTATACTTTTTAACTATAGCCAGCTTTACACTGCAACGCTCTTTACTTATGTTAAGGATCTACTACAGTATTATACTAATTATTGTTCAACTGCTCACCTCTTACAGTGGATATATGATTTCCATTTGTTGAGGGTAATTACTGTTGTTAAAGTTTAGTGTCTGTTATCTTAGTTGTGATCTACTGAAAATCAAACATGGATTTATGCTCAAGCTTGTACTTATTGTCTCTTTTATTGGGCCTCTAACTTTCATAGCTAAAAGTTGTTTTGAAGGCATTGAAATCGGTCATTTTATTGTCTTGGAGTTCTCCTTGTAAGCATTATCTGCAACCTTGGTGTGCATGACTTGTTAAATTGGAGAAAGATTGAGAGAAAGACATCCAACTGTTTTCAGGCATTTCTTTCCTTTTAGGCTCTGTTTGTTTGAAGTGCAATTCGTTTGCACTGCTACAAATGCATGAGAGTGCAATTTCTTGTCCACTTTTGCTTTGGATTTTACTTTATTTTGCAAACAAACATGATAAGGTAGAAGTTGAAACAAATTTGAATCAAAATTTGCATTCCCATACTTTTATACCATTGCAAATGAAGTTGCATTGAAAACAAACCACGCCATGATGACTGTTCTGGATTAACAGTTGTTGAAATAATTCCTCCATATTTTTCTTCAGGCAAGTCCTTGGGGTGGTGGCAGGCTGTAAAGGTATTGCTGACATAAACCAGCTAAGTAAGACCTTGTACCACAACACCTGCAGGTAAGTTATTGATAGAACTTCATTTTCTCTTCAGTTTATGTATGTCTGATTCAGGCATCTATATTTTGAATTAAGAAGACTTCACGTTCTTTGTAATTAATGTTTTATGAAACCATACTGAACCATAGTTGAACCTTTGCCAACTGTCAACCAATCATTTAAGCAGTTGAGGGCCTTGAGGCTAAGCCATAGACCATTGTTGGGTTGAAAGTCACTTGCACAATTTGGCCAAATAGTTGAACCTTGGAACTGTTCAATGCTTTGTACATTGTTTTCTTGCCTAAACCACACTATGTGACTCAATGCCCATCTATGCTGTGAAATGCTGATCCCTTATTTGTGCGTTTTAGAAAACTGAAAGGGAGGAAAGTGGTAGGGTCGGATAAAAATATGGGAATTGACTAAGGTCCCCAGGGAGGTCTGATTTCTGTACTCTAGACCTTGATAATAAGAGCAGAAAATGCTGGAACTCTCCATGGAGATTGTCCTCCTTAGGTTAAAACCATCGGATTGCAACCTTTAGGACTAGGGATTCATAGGGTTTATTTGTGATTATTACAGAGGTCCAAGAACTTGTGCATCAAGGCAAAAGATGCCAATCAAATGGTTTCTGTTCATGGGATATAACCTTTGCTGTATAACTAGTGTAATACATCAACTCTTCAGATGCAAGGTTTCTTCTAATTGTTTTGACCTATGATATGAGATAACCTAGCTTTACTACTTTAGGTTTAGTTTTCTTTTTTTTTTTTTTAATTTATTGAATGGTTATTATCAATATAGTCATAAGGTAATCCAGGACCCTCTGGCATTGAATTGGTGTAGAGGATTCACTTGGACCTGAGGTTATGGTGGTAATGGAAGGGTTAAACAAGGCTAAAGAATTGAATACCAGAAAGTTAATTGTTGAAGATGACTCAAAAGTGGTTATAGGCTGGTTGCAAAAGGAGGAAAATGGATTATGGAAGTTTGCCAACGTAAAAAGAAAGTTCAATTGGCTATCTCAGAATATTGAAATTCAGCTGCAATGGGTTAAGAGAAGTGCTAACTCCTTTGCGGATGCTCTTGCTGAACAAGGGGCAGGAAGGGATGAAATGTTATGGGTTGTATTGTAATTCTGTTTGTTGTTTTTCTTGGGGAGGGTTAAGAGACTTTATCCCTCCCCTTGCTTTCTGTACCTTTCTATTAATTCTTTAATAAGAGTTGCTGTTATTGATAAAAAATATAGTCATATGGTATCATGTATCTGACCTGCAATTAAACAGTTGCAATACTGGAGGTCCAATGTGGTTTCAAACAGTGACTTCCTGCCCTTTTTTTGGTACTCACTCGACCAATTATTCCTACTTCAGTTTTTTCAAGTTATTGTAACTATAGTCGGTGGAGTTTAGGGACCAAGCCCAATCCTTGATATTTCCTTCGATGGAGCTTTTCCCGTCAACCAGCATCTAAAGACTTCTGTCATCATCCTAAAGAGCATAGCTTGATGAAACAAGTTTGGTGATTAATTTCATCCATTTAGCCACTTTATTTCAAAGATTTAAAAATTTTTAACTTGTTTTTGGAATTCTGAACTTGGAATATGCAGTTCCTCTGAATAAATTCTATCTGGTTCTGCAGGGTTTTCTTTCCCCATGACTTGGACTCGGTGGCAGATGCTCTTCTTGCTGGCAGTCATGAGATTCAGTGAATGTTTTTGTGTTCATTCAATGTTATTGATGTTGAGGTATTCTCTTAACTGGAGCACAATTGAGGTCCCACCATTTTTAGTGAAAAAAGAAAAAAAAATTGAGGTCCCACAATTTTTATTGTTGTAACCTTACTAGTAAGTGGGACTAGTTAATGGGAATTAGAATTCCTGGATGCCATTGAAAGGAATGGGATAGGATGTTGCCAGGGAGTTACGTTGCTTATGCTGCTATTTTGGAAATGAAAGATGCTTTAGGTTGTTTTTCTAGTGAATGAGCTCTTTGACAATGGATTATCACCCAACCAAAATGTATGGAATTGCAACCTTTACTGTCTTCATCATCGTGATCAATCTAAGCCTTGTCCCAGCTATATGGGGTTGGCTACATAAATCCTGTTTTAGTATTCCATTTTGTCCGGTGCCATATCCATTGTTAAATTATGGATTCTTATATCATTTTTTTTATTATTTCTACCCAAGGATTAAAATATCAATATGCCCGATACCCTCAAGTGGGTGTCGGTGCATACCAATATGAACGATATCCTTTGATTTTTGTTCTTTTTATTTTAAAATTTATAGGTATTTAGAGGGTCCTACATGGTATTTTGAAGTTTTATAGTCTTTAAAAAACTATTGTATTGATGTATCCAAACGTATCTGGATGCACTAACACGGATATGGGGCATATTGATATTTTAATCCTTGCTTCCACCCAAGTCTTTTTTGATCTGTTTTTAATTCTTTTTATGCTTCAATTTATAACAGAACTTTTTCTAAAGGTGTTAGTAGATGGTCTTCTATGCATGTGATCAAACTATCTCAATATCTAAACAAAAATTTGATGAAATATAGTCTGATTTAATCTCCATACCAGAGATTGCCATACATGTAAGTTCTCTCCGGGTCTTCCATTTTATACTCTATATTTACCAGTTATTGAGCTTGGATTCAACCTAGTAGCTTGGAGCTGCCAGGTCCAGTTCTACTGGTTGCTCATCATTATTGCCTATTTCCCTTCGTGAATCTTCAATAAAATCAGGACACATTATCCTCTATGCATGTGAAGGGATTTAAACGTCTTACACTTTTCTTACTAGCGGGGACCCGTGCGATGTACAGGATTTATTAAGCGAAAGCTAAATAATATAAAAGGGTCATTTACTAAAATACCCCTTATAGTTTTATGGATTTACTAAAATCTATCATATAGTTAGTATTTTACTAAAACACCACTTATAATTTGCAATGGATTTAATTAATCTTCTATTAGATGACAGTTAAATAAATTTAATCAAAAGAAAATAAAAATAAAAATACCATTTTTGCCCTTAATGAGACACGGACAACCACCCTATTGGCTATATTTGTTCAATTTTGTTTTCTGTACAAAAAAGTGTTAAGAGTGTTTTTGGAATAAAAAATGATGAGCCTTATGTCAAAACAAACACTCCTTAATGAAATGTTGATTAAGTAAATAAGTTGTAAAATATATGGGATATTTTAGTAAAATGAAAACTATAAGGTAGATTTAAGTAAATATGTAAAACTATTAGGTGTGCTTTAGTAAATGACCCTAATAGAAACACATAAGAGTATACAATTGTTTTTTAAATAATTTGTAATTATTGATATTTTATATACTGCTTTTAATAATTTTTTTATAATACAAAAATAACAATAATTAATTTCAATTAGGTTTATTCATCAAATTGATGAAATCGACCAACCCGATCAACTCGACCTGAGTTGGTCAGTTTTCTAGTATTTTAGGTCAATTTTGGTTAAAAAATTTCCCAATTCGACCAAGTTGGATCGGTTTCACTTTGGGCACTTGTAAATTGGCCAAAATTGAACGACCTAACCATTGAAAACAATAAATAATTATTGAAAACAATAAATATTAATTTTAGAATATATAATTATATAATAAATACAGGTTAAGAGTTTAAAATTATTATTAATAAATAATATTTTTTTGAAAGTTATTTTCTCGAATTATTACTATATATAATTAAAATTAGTTATTTACAATATTATGTAAAAATATTAAATTATTATTAATTTCAATATTATGTTATAATTATTTTTCTACTTTTCAGATTTTTTTTTATAAATTTATTACATAATTTCTTTATTTTAACTATTCAAAATCTAGTTATGCCAAATATTTTGTTATTTAAAATATTTAGTTATTTAAATACTTAAATAATATGTAGAATATTTAAAATTTAAAATATTAATTATTTATTGAATTTAATTATCCATAAAATCATAATTCATACTATTATTACATAATTTCATTATTAATTTTGTAATATATTAAATTATTATTAATTTCAATATTATGTTATAATTATTTTTCTACTTTGAAGATTTTTTAAAATTTATTATATAATTTCGTTATTTTAACTATTTAAAATCTAGTTGTGATAAATATTTAGTTATTTTAATATTTAAATAATCTATAAAATATTTAATTTTTTTGTTATTTGAATTTTATTTATTTAAAAATATTACATATTATTAAATATTTGAAAAACATTTAAATTGATAATTCAGAAAAACATAATTTAAATTATTAGTACATAATTTCGTGATATATTTTGTAAAAATATAAAATTATTTTTTATGTTTTTAACAAATATTTTAAAATTATTATATAATTTTGTTAGAATATTTAAATAATTCTTAAATTTTTTAATCCAAACTTTTCTTTAGATAGATATAGACAAAAAGTAGGGGAGAGGATAAATAGGAATTATGGATAATTTAAGATAGAAACTCTTTACTAAATTAGAGATAATTTTGGAGAAAGTGATGAATAGTGGAAGAGGTAGTCTAGGAGTAATTTTAGGAGAATAGAGTATTTAGGTTATTGATAAAGTGCATCTCATTGATTATTTTAAAAAGATAAATTTCTTAAACTATCTTATGGTTTAACTAATTGACTAAATATACCCTTACTGTGTTAACTGTCCGTTACATATATAATATCATGTGACTAATATATTTATATAAAATTCCAAAACACCCTTCCTACCTCCATTCCAAAAACACCCTCTCTGTTTGGTTGGACTCCATTAGAACCATCACCGGCGGTTAGGCCTAGGATCGGAAACTGAGAAGGAGTTTTGTTGATTACAGCTGAGTCTGCTAGACACCTGCTACCACGAATCTGCAATGGCCATCAACAACACTACAACTTGGAGAAGAAAACCTGCTTTCCGGGTGTCCATCTTCAAAACGCAGATGAGAAACCTGTACCCAATCTGCCGCTGCAAGTTGCAACGGCGGTGGCGGAACCCCTTCTCGCTCCAGCGGTGGCGATGAGCCCTCTTCGAACGAAATCAGAGGGGCGGAGGGGAGAGAGAGACGAGAGGTTGAGAATGGAAAGAGAGAGAGAATGAGAGATAGGGAGACAAGAGGTGGCGAAAGAATACCAGATGCGGCGGTGGTGAAACAGAGGAAGTGAAAGAGGAGAGAGAGAAATAGCAAGAAGAGAGAGAGAGTAAAGTACCAAATTCGCCATTGCAGCGGTGGTGGTGATACAAGGAAGTGAAAGAGGAGGAGAGAGAGGAGAGAGGAGACAGAAAGAGAGGGAAGAAAGAATGAAAGATAGGGAGAGAATGAGAGGCTCCTCTGGTTAACATCCCCTGTCCTTTGGTGGCCAGTAGTCGAGCTCAGTTAACTTCAGATTCTCAATTCCCATCAAGTAAACCCTCTCCCACAAGTTCAGATCCATGTGTCCGGTTGGAGCTGTTAATGCATAACCTATTGCATCTCCACAGTCTAGCTGCATCTTTGAAAGCCTGTGATACCGTGCAAGGGAGCTCAATCCAGATGGTTGTTCTGTTGGTTCTGGCCCCATCCTGCAGTCGCCTTCCACCCTAATCCTGATCTCCTCCAGAACAGGGCAATTGTCCAATCCAGACGAAGCTAGAGGGTTCAGCGGCTTGCCAACGGCAATCCAGAGGGAGAGGTATCGCAGCTGGTCCCAGGTTTTCCTCCAGAACCTGCTGCAATTAATGCTTTTGATTTGAACGCGAGAGTAATCCACTTCACCGGAATATTTGCATCTTTTCTTCTTGCTACCATCATCACCCAGGAAGATCATGAATTCAGCAGGCCGATCCGATGTGCTGGCATCATCCCTGGATTCGTTGGGTTCAAAACCATGTTGGCATGGCTCCGTCGCCAGTCATCTCAGTCGTTGGATCCTGTCCCGGATAGGTTCCAGAGCTCGCAGTGACGAGGTAGCATCAAGGTTCTTGCAGCAGGAGATACTTTTACATCCACCAGCGTCTGCTGAATTAGAGGAAGATGGAGAGAATCAAATATAGGAGGGTAAAATAGTGTTTTTAATATTTCTGTTGACAGACGATAATGAATAAGAAGGATTAATCAATTGTCAGTAGGGATAGTGTTAGTTAATTTTTAAATAGTAAAGATACACTTAATAGTCAATTAACTGAATAGTAAGGGCAATTTAAGAAATTTACTCTTTCAGAAAATTTTTGACCGCTTTTATAATACCAATTAGATCAAATACGACACTTTGCTTGGTGCCATAAAGTGAAAGCTTCATGAATGAGCAAAGAGAAATGCAAATGGAAAGGGAAAACAGGTGAACTTTTGTTTCGAATATCAGAAAGAAAGATAAGCATCAAATTCAGTTCTCATCTCCAACACATCACATTCACTCCATTTTCGGTGGAGAAAAGAAGTGAAAGTCTCAGATTTTTGGGGTTCGTCTCATCCAAATGGGTTTGGATGCGAGGATAAAGTTTTTTTTTACCTGTTTCTGTAAATTTACAGGAG